CCCCCCCCCCCCTCTCTCTCTCTCTCTCTCTCTCTCTCTCTCCCTCTCCCAGACCTAAACCTATCTGTCTTTGTGTTGGTAGGGGAATTCCACAAACACATTTTCACCCAAAAAGCAAATGTATCCTCTAACTAATGGAGCCCATGCAGCCAATACCACAGGAGAAAGCTATGGGAATGCCAGGTATATTTTTTTTTAGAGTAATGATACTGGAACTTATAATTTTGACTTAATGATATGATTTAATTGTAATCACTATATTAATACTAAGTTTTAATATTTAATCGGACCCACGAACGATTAATCTAATAATTATAATGAATTAAGTCAACAAATTAGATAATTGACAACCACATTATAATATAACTATTGGATGATAAACATGTCTTATTTAATATTGAAATTAATGGTTGTAATGAATTAACTCAATCGGGTCCCAATAGCTTTGTTTTGCTCTAAATCAATACATATTGTGTTCGTTTTATAGACGTATTATGAATAAATTAAATATTAAATTATATTATTATTTATTTAATCAGATTTAATACTTTATTCAATAGATAAATTTTATTCCATATTAATAGATACAAAGAGCCATACTAATACCTACAATGACTACAGTGCATGTGATTATGGAACACTGAGTGAGAACAAAGTGAAGGGGAAGATTGTGCTCTGCCTTGGCTATACCGGTCAAGATGGCACGATCAATGACTTACATGGGGCTGGAACCATCATGACAACAGATCAGTTTTCAGACGTTGCCTTTACCTTTCTTCTACCGGCGACTTTAATCGATGTCAAGTCCGGCGAAAAAATCGATCGCTACATCAACTCAACCAAGTACGATTTCTGATTTCCATTGATTAATATTAGTACAATTTTTAGGACGCAATGTAGAATGCACAAGAACTGTTTGATCTATGGTGTAAGAGAACAATGTATATACTAGTATTTAGTTAATCAACTACCCTTTTGGGTCAGCTGACATTATCTGTATAACTAAAACCTTAACATGGAAATGAATGGCCAAAAACCAAGGTATTAGAACAGTTCAGAAGGATTTGCACATAGAGATGAAGGAAAAACTGAACTAGTGTAAGCACTTTTACCTTAATTTTCAGTAATTTCTACTTACATCTGTCAAGCAATGTACAGGACGGCCAAAGCAGTTATATACAAGTCGAGAACNATGTACAGCCTGATATTGCTGCACCAGGACTGAACATATTAGCTGCTTATTCACAACTAACAACTGTGACTGGAGCCACGGGTGACAAACGGATTGTAAAGTATAACATAGAATCGGGAACATCGATGGCTTGCCCTCATGTTGCAGCTGCTGCAGCTTATGTCAAGTCCTTCCATCCCCAATGGTCACCGGCTGCAATCAAGTCTGCTCTCATGACCACTGGTGAGACTAATTCAGCCCATCTTAGTTTAGAAAACTTCTGCATGATTCATGTCCAACACCAAGTAATTAACAGATCTAAGTCACGCTTGATACCATATTGATGAGAAGCTTGATACCATATTGATGAGAAGCATGGTATCTGTTTTGAGGCAACTGCTCTAAAATCTTCTGCATAAAAAACCCTGATGCTTTATTAATAAGAACATGGTATCTATTTTGAGCCCCATGTTATTTTCACCATCGTCACATACCTGGCTTTCTTACATCATTTGGACTTAAGGGAATGCCATATACTACAGTATAGTCAATAAGACCATGCCTATTGAAGCCTCCAGTCAAGTCTACTTGGGTTCAAGCTAGCCAACATTATGCAATCATATACAACACTATTTATTCACTCCATGGCTGCCTTTTGAGTTTCAACCCAAAAGTGTTAGGTTTGTGTTCAAGTTGAATAAGCTACACAGTTACACTCTTCATCCAATCTTTTTATATCTTCTTCTTTCAGCAACACCTATGAAGATTAAGCCAGTAGATGCTGAATTGGCCTCAGGTTCAGGCCAAATAAACCCAACAAGAGCACTGCACCCTGGCCTTGTCTATGACATGAACACAGGCTCCTACGTTAGATTCCTATGCAAGGAAGGCTACAACAGCACAACTATTAGCTTACTAACGGGTGGTAAAAAGAAGTACAACTGCTCCACCCTTCCTGCACGAGGATTTGATGGCATCAACTATCCATCCATGCATATCCAGCTTACAAAACCCAACTCTAGCATTTCAGCAGTTTTCCACCGAACTGTAACAAACGTGGGCTATGGGAAGTCCGTATACAAGGCAAAAGTGATGGCACCTAAGGGTCTTTCTGTCAGAGTTATTCCGAGAACACTGACATTTGAACGCTCGTATCAGAAGAGATCATACCACCTTATGGTGAAGGGAAAATTCATCAAAAACACTGAGATCCTATCAGCCTCGCTATTGTGGAGTGACTCTAAGCACAAAGTTAGGAGTCCTATCCTTGTCTATAGGTCCCTATCTCAAGATTATCAGTAGCTTGTACTGCAAACACAGGATTGCTATTATTGTTCTATCAAATTTCAAGTTCTTTCTTGCAACTTTCTTTCTGTCTGGCTACTGAGATATTCAAGTTCGCAAGCCTGTTCCTCCTCTGTTTGATCTTAGTCAATGACACCTTTGTCTACCAATTATGTGAAATTGCTCAACTCAAGGTTAGTACGAGTGTGCGATGAGCAGCATCTTCACACCATCCTATCATTCACATCCTTATGTCAAACAGGTACACAAGGTCACTTTTTCAGTGAAATAACTGGAGTGATACCACTGCATAACTGACACATGGTACCACAACTCAATAAAAGGGACCAAATGCAACATGAAGCATCACAATCAACTCACCAAGTAAACCAAGAAATCGATGCTCAGGAACAGCCATCCATCACCATGGGGGCAGAAAAGGGGGGATAAAAAGGAAAAGAGGAAAAAACAAGGACTAAACCCACACCAAGACAGACCAACACACAAACAGATGAACATCAGTCCTCCATCCCGTGAGGACCAGAGATACCAAAAGGCAAATCCTATGCATGTAAAACAAAGTAACCCATCATTCTGCAACAACCAATAAACTAAATTCTGAAATCGCATTTAATTGCAATCAAACCGGAAACTTCAATACCTCAAAAAGTTTGGAACACAACCATCATTTTCTTCTCTGAAATGGCAGTCATTGACCACCATTTGTAGCATAAGGAAATTTGCTAGTGACAAAACATCTGCTGGAATTACATTTTTCCCTCCACGTTTTTTCCAGCTCCATAAAGAGAACCTGTTCTGTTTGACTTTTGAAGGATACAAAGCCATACTGCTGAAACAATAGAACATTATCACACAATCTTTCCCCGTTAAAACAACCAAATATTTTGTAGAACGTCTCTTTTTATTAGAATTCCAAAATCCTATCTTATTAATTCCCTAACACAAACATGCTACCATTTTAGGCCACCAGTCCCTGCGAAAAGTAACCCAAGTGAAAGAAAACGCCTCTTACTTCAAAAGCTGACATCTGAGACTTCTAATTAGTGTATGCATCTTTGCAGACCTTAGATATATCTGCACTAGAATCAATCTCGAAGGACTCCATACTAACCAACGAATATGTTCAAAATTGGAGGGTTTAGCCTGAAAATTCAAAAAAGCATCCGAAATTAACGNAGATCTGCACTAGAATCAATCTCGAAGGACTCCATACTAACCAACGAACATGTTCAAAATTGGAGGGTTTAGCCTGAAAATTCAAAAAAGCATCCGAAATTAACGGCGATGGAGGTTCTTTAGCTTTGTGAGTTTTTTCCTTCTCTTCCTGGCCTCTGCTGCTGATGTATCTACTAGTTTCTTACCTAGGCAGATAGCTGGTTCCTCATTCTTTTCTGGCAATGCAGTTACTGACTGACTTCACTGTGGAAGAAATAGCTTCCACAGCTGGGATGTAATAAGGCTGTAGACCATTCTCATCTTCAACATGAACTGCAGACATACAGACCATTCCTTTGGGGTGAGACCAAGTGTGCTGACCACCACCATCCGGTGGCAAACCAGATGAGCTCTCATGATGAAGGTTAGCTGCTATGGCTTCCCTCAATTCAGAAGCTTTTGTTTTAACTTTCANACCAAGTGTGCTGACCACCACCATCCGGTGGCAAACCAGATGAGCTCTCATGAAGGTTAGCTGCTATGGCTTCCCTCAATTCAGAAGCTTTTGTTTTAACTTTCATCGGTGAGGAGTTGTTCTCCACATGCACAGTAGCTTTCAAGGATGAACTAGAAGCACAATGGTCATTCATATTGGATTCATCTGGCTTATTGATTACATTGAACAACTGAGAGTGAAGTCTACTACCGTCATTGGGGTGAAGAAAAAACCAAGGACATGGCAATATATACAAGGGAGTTCCCAGGTGATTAATCATCATGGAATTTCCTTGTTCACAAAGTGAGTCAGACTGATCAATAACTGTCATAGGAACTATTGGTGGAGTAGCAGTGTCATTCTGACAACCACACTGCAATCGGCAAGAATTTGAAGAATGTCTTATAGGATACAGAAAAGGTGGGAGAGGGCATGCCAAATTAGTTTCAACTTTTCAAAATAAAGCATCTCTTCAATGGAAACCATTTTCTTACATGTGCTTTTCACAGAATCATATTCCCTCTCAACCAACTCCTTTTCCTTCTCAGGGAATTTCACCAATAAAGAATGAGCANTCAAGTATTCACTTGTGCTCTTCACAGAATCATATTCCCTCTCAACCAACTCCTTTTCCTTCTCAGGGAATTTCACCAATAAAGAATGAGCACAGTAAAAGATGAGCTCCTAAAGGATATGCAAATAACTTCCCATATGAATTAAGGAGATGATTGGGTAGGGATCAAAACTTCATACATACAACAACAATGATCCCAATGTTGCTTCATAGACACAGGACTTGCACCAAATAATACACTTAACCAGGACGACTTAAGGCAAGGACAACATACCCTTTTCAAATTTTCATTCTCCCCTGCTAAATCAGCAACTTTTCGGGTCAACGCCTCATATATGGCATATCAAAATTAAAGACAATGTGTTCAATAATAATGACTGCAGAATAAATGTAAAGTTGAAACAATCATGGCACTTACCAAGAGACCACATTGACATCTCCTAAAATAGAACTTCTAAAAATGCTCACAGCATTCAAGATCTACCTCAAACAATTTGAAAATGTAAAACAACATATGCACTTCCAAGCTGCAAATGCTCGTGGACACTGCAGGCATGTCCACACTGGGTCTACGCCATTGGGCACACACCAACATTTTCAAAATGTACAAATATATGCATCAAGGAGAATGAGGGCTAAGAAACAAAAAATTATGCCTACATCTAGGGACCTTACTATGAAGTTAAAAGTTTTTTCCACATCTAATCTCAATAGGGTTCAAAGTATTGGCCGAGTCCGATACGACTCGGCCGACTCATATCCGACTCAGCCATTGATGATACGATAACGATACACGAATCGAAAGATTGACGAATTTAACTTGTATCGGCAATATCTCGGACGTCTCGGCCGAAATCAAAGGTGTCAGTGAAAATTCGGTTCAATTCGGGCGACTCGACTCGGAATCTTTTCGAGTCGAACACGACAGTGGAAAAATATCCAAATCTGACCCACACCTCTGCAAAAGCTTATCAACACTCCATTTTTCTGAAAAATGAACAAAAATAAAAAAAAAGGGGAATGGGAAATAAAGCAGACCTACTACCGGACAACCCATTGAAAGACTCGACACCCATGTGAAAATTGCAAAAATCACATGAACCCTGAGACAGCAAACCCCTATAAAAAACCAAGATTACTAACATACCTGTAGATCGAACCCTGAAGCATCTTCTTCATTTNTAAAAAAAAAAGGGGAATGGGAAATAAAGCAGACCTACTACCGGACAACCCGTTGAAAGACTCGACACCCATGTGAAAATTGCAAAAATCACATGAACCCTGAGACAGCAAACCCCTATACAAAACCAAGATTACTAACATACCTGTAGATCGAACCCTGAAGCATCTTCTTCATTTGGTTTTGTGTGACGATCTTGTTCGATTCTTTGTTATTCTTGTTCAATTCTTTGTTGAAAGGATTTTCTTCGATTCTTTGTTGTGACAATCTTCTTCGGTTTATATCAGTGAGGAACAGCACTCTACATCTCTCTGTCTGCACTCTGTTATCGTGAGCCTCTGGGAAGTAAGAAAGACGAAGAACGTAAAAGTAGGTAGGAAAAAAAACTCTTTAAAAGCTGTCTGATTTTNTTGGTTTATATCGGTGAGGAACAGCACTCTACATCTCTCTGTCTGCACTTTGTTATCGTGAGCCTCTGGGAAGTAAGAAAGACGAAAAACGTAAAAGTAGGTAGGAAAAAAAACTCTTTAAAAGCTGTCTGATTTTTTTTTTTGGATTGAGTGTTTATACATTTATATTTGTCCTAAATGTAACGTAAAAGTAGTAGCTCAATTGGGTGGTGTTGCAAATTGAGCTGTTGCAAGATCCCTGGTTCAACTCCACGAATGCTCCAACATGCAGCCTGTTTTTGTTTTTTTTTTNGGAAGGATGTCCACATGCACCAAAAGAAGTGTCACAATTCTTGAGACAACATCTCAGTAATTGTAGTAAAGAAAGGGCTTCTATAAAAAAGAAAAAAGAACGAATTATGCAATCATTACGAGATGAAGATTGTTACAACCTAGATGATGATGATGGTGAGAATCAAATTGAAGAGNTAGTAACTCAATTGCATGGACTTACACACTGTAATGTTGTAGGTCACTGGTTCGACTCCTCCAAGACCCCAACACACTGTCTGCCCTTATATTTTTTTTTTGACTGAATGTTTATATATTTATATTTGCCTTAAAAGTAACATAAAAGTAATAACTCAATTGGGTGGTGATGCAAATTGTCATGTGCAAGACAGTGGTTCGACTCCTCTAAGGCGAACATGCTTTTTTACATTATTGTCATAGTTAAATTACTTATTTATTGCATAAATATTAAAATTATTGTCTTTTAATGATCAAGAAAATTATAACTTTAATGTAATAATTAGATACATCAATATTTTATAATAATAAATTAGTGGATATAAGTTCTTTTTTTTTTATTTATAAAAAATATATGTTCTATTTCAAATTATATAAAATTAAATGTTACAATTACATTTTTTTTATATTTAAACTATTTCAATCAATTGAATGTTACTTATTTAATTATTTAGAATTTGTGACATTGTAGAATGGCTCCTAAACAACACGACATTGGTTGGGAACACGCATCACCTGTTGGTGGTGATCAACGAATTACAAAGTGCAACTATTGTGGTAAAATAGTTCATGGTGGCATTACTTGAATGAAGCAGCATATTGCACATGTATCCGGCCAAGTGGAAGGATGTCCACATGCACCAAAAGAAGTGTCACAATTCTTGAGACAACATCTCAGTAATTGTAGTAAAGAAAGGGCTTCTATAAAAAAGAAAAAAGAACGAATTATGCAATCATTACGAGATGAAGATTGTTACAACCTAGATGATGATGATGGTGAGAATCAAATTGAAGAGGGTGATTTTGAAAGAAGACAGTTAAAGCATGCAATGAAGGAAAGTCGTCAAATGGCTTGAATGGAGGAAGAGGGTCGTAGGCACTCTGTATCAAATACAAGCGGTCGATCATCACAACCATCAAGCTCTGGAATCAAGCGCGGAAGCGTAAAAGCAGGTGTAAGCATGCATGTAAGTGGCCTTGATCCGTACATGTTTCCGTCAAAACAAAAGTCAATAAAAGGCATGTTCTTAGGTGCGAACCTGAAAAAAGTAAGAAAAACTATTTCGAAGTTCTTCCTCTTCAATGTCATACCATTCAATGCAGTTAATAATGGGCCTTACTATCAGTCAATGATTGACACTATTGCGGATACAGGCCCAGGAATAAAGAGCCCCACTGGATATCAAATNAGTAGGTCAATTAGGTGGTGTTGCAAATTGAGTTGTTGCAAGGTCCCTGGTTCGACTCCTCTAATGCTCCAACATGCAGTCTGTTTTTTTTTTTTTTNGGATACAGGCCCAGGAATAAAGAGCCCCACTGGATATCAAATTGGTAGTTCTTATTTAGAGGAGGAGGTTCAAGATTTTGATGTGTATATATCTTCGATGAGGGTAAAATGGCCTCAGTATGGTTGCACAATCATGTCTGATGGGTGGAGTTCTAGAACAAAGAAACCCATTATCAATTTCATGATTTATTGTGACCGTAATATGATTTACCATACATCAGTTGATACCACAAATATTTCAAAAACTGCNTTTGTCTTAACATAACATAAACGTAGTAGCTCAATTGGGTGGACTTTCAACTCCTCCAAGACCCCAACACACTGTCTATCTTTTTTTTTTTTTTGACTGAATGTTTATATATTTATATTTGCCTTAAAAGTAACATAAAAGTAGTAGCTCAATTGGGTGGTGATGCAAATTGTCATGTGCAAGACAGTGGTTCGACTCCTCTAAGGCGAACATGCTTTTTTACATTATTGTCATAGTTAAATTACTTATTTATTGCATAAATATTAAAATTATTGTCTTTTAATGATCAAGAAAATTATAACTTTAATGTAATAATTAGATACATCAATATTTTATAATAATAAATTAGTGGATATAAGTTCTTTTTTTTTTATTTATAAAAAATATATGTTCTATTTCAAATTATATAAAATTAAATGTTACAATTACATTTTTTTTATATTTAAACTATTTCAATCAATTGAATGTTACTTATTTAATTATTTAGAATTTGTGACATTGTAGAATGGCTCCTAAACAACACGACATTGGTTGGGAACACGCATCACCTGTTGGTGGTGATCAACGAATTACAAAGTGCAACTATTGTGGTAAAATAGTTCATGGTGGCATTACTTGAATGAAGCAGCATATTGCACATGTATCCGGCCAAGTGGAAGGATGTCCACATGCACCAAAAGAAGTGTCACAATTCTTGAGACAACATCTCAGTAATTGTANCCATCTGCAAAAAATTGCAGTCAAAGTTTTAAGCCAAACATGTTCATCATCAGGGTGTGAAAGAAATTGAAGTACATGGTCGCTGATCCATACAAAACTTCGCAACCGATTGGCAATGAAAAAGCTACATAAGCTAATTTTTGTGCACTACAATATGCGGTTGCAAGTTAGAAATTTAACATATCAGCGTGAAAATGATGATTTTTATAATCCAATTGATCTGAACTATATTTTTAATGATGAAGATATATTATATGAGTGGATAAGAGAAGGGGAGGAATCAGTTTTACCACTTGATAACTTAGGTTGGCTGGATGAAGGTATTCGTGATATTGAAGAAGGTGAAAGTGGACGAGATGCAGTTGATGAAGGTGACACTAATACGGCACCAACGTCTAGCAACTATGCCACTACCAGAAGATCTGGAAAAGATACGAGGCCAACCAATAAGGGTAAAAAGGTTATAAGAATTTTTGTCAGTTCTAGTGATTCTTCTTCTGATGATGATAATGTTGCTTATACTTATGATGGTGGTGGTGGTGATGGTGATAGTAGTAATACTGATGATGATGATGCTAGTAATCATGGTGAAGATAATGATGAGAGCAACAAGAGTGGTGGTGGAAGGACTATTGGAGATGGTGGTGATACTCAGCTACCTGGCGGTATGTCATGGGCACAGGGGCAAAACAATTACTATGGCCACACAGGATACAGACCATGGATATAGACCAGGGGCAATGAAACAACGGAGGAATTTAAACTCTTCCATTGGTGATGATTATTCTCATAGATGCCACCATCATTCACTTGGTCGACAAGATATTGATGATCATATGCAGAGTTTGAGATTGACATCATATGAAGGATACATACCTTACGGACATCATCAAAATAGTGGTATAGAATCTAGCTATGCACATGAATAATATGGATATGGTATCCCTTCGCAGTTTCCGAGGTCTACTAGTACTAATAGTGCTGGGCATTATGGCCATCGCCCTATGCATCTTGAGAGATCTACTAGTACTAGTACTGGTAGTTACTATGATTGTGTTCCAAGGAAACATCATGATGGATATTCTAACACGACATCGAATAGTGTCAACTTTTATGGATATGATCAGTCTTCTGCTAGTAGTAGCTGTGAATATCGTGGTTTTGGGTACTATCAGTATGGGAACCAGCCAGTACAACCTCTACAGTCACACTACTCTGATTATGGGTCATCTGGTCAATCAACTCAACCAACCCAATCAAACCCGTATTCACACTTGTACTCTTATTCTTATGGTGGACAGTACCCTAATTTGTATTATCCTAGAGACAATAACGACAATTTTGAGCCTCATCATCGTTCAATGTGGCAATGATTATGGCTCCATATATTCCTAAATGTCTACATTGAACATTGATAATGATAATTATTTTCGCTCGCGATTTTATGTTTAATTTTAATTATGTTTAATGTATTTTTAGATGTATTGTGGATATATGATGCATAAATGATAATGTCTATTTTTTTAGAATTTTCTATAATTTTTTCAAATTTTTTTGGAGCTTCTATCTTGCGTTTTGAGCGTATCGGCCAATACCGCGCTGCGACCAATGTGTATTAGCACCCTCCGAGTTGATGGTCGATACCGCGACTTTGAACCATGGATCTTAAGGATACTTGCTATTTACGTTCTTTATATTATGTCCATGGTCCTCATACAATGAAGAGGCGTATATAAGAAAAAGTAATGGGGACAGAGAGGCCATATATTCGACTTTTATGATGCACATCCACAAAGCTTCACATATGTAGAGTCATAATCCAGTATTCAGACCACATGGACTTGCCTCATCAGGCAACCCATCACTAATTCTTCTAAAGTCCCTTGGAGCCAATCAGTTGGCTGAAGCTTGACATGATGAAGTCGCTTTTAAGCCCCTTGAAAAAGAAAGAGGGAATGATCCTTCCCCTTACTGTTGGCTAGGTATTCCATGTCTAGAAATCACTAAACTCTTCCAGTAGATGAGCATCATTAACCCACTAACAGAAAAAAAAAATTAACAATGTTATATTTTGGGTGTCTTTGAACAGATCTTATAAAAAAAAAAACTTATCTGAAACCACTTATAAATAATAATATTACTAAGCAATCATCCGTACTTTGGAGATTATTCCATTCTTTTTAATTTTGATGAAGTGAGAGGAAGGGAGGTCAAGATGCTCTTGCACTTGAGGTGAATAGATGGCCATGCTACTTGTGCCTACATGATGGATCAAGCTAGAATCTCCATGCAGAACATGTTGTAGGATTAGCATAGAGATTCCAAACTTCAAGCCTCTGACCTTTGAAAGGACAAGTGGATAATAGAGCTCCAAGTTCCCGTGAGATGATTTTGGATGGATATAATCCAAAGTTTTGGATGTCTGTCACTTGTATAATTGTACTCCCGTCCAAGGATCAAATTTTCGTTTCGAATGGTCAAAACATCCGAAACGTTTCCGTTTCCATTTCGGAGGGGACAGAAAAGAATCGATGATGAAATCAAAACTCCAATGCTTCAAGATGTTCCAGAATGTTTCAAGGTGTTTTGAAGATCAAACAACAAAACCTTGAAAAATGAAGCCAGATAAACTCGGTGTAAATTTTCCTACTTCTTGAAAACCTAACAAACTTTAGGTGAGGACCAATATTGTTTACGTAAGACCTTGACAAATGAAACCACAGTAACTTTAGGTCAATTTTTCTTCTCAAAAATCTAAAAAAATTTAGGTGACAATCCAAAAATATTCCTCTTTTGGGATGAAGCCTAAGAAAATTTATGAAACATTCCCCCTCCCTCCTCCTCTGGCATCGGATTTTGTTAATCTAACGGCAACTAGACATTAACTTCTTTAGTTTTTCATTCCAGAATCCTAATTCCATAACCCTAACCCTTGCCCTAGTCTCTGGCCTTTATCACTCCAGAATATCCAGTGCAATAAAAAAACTGATCACCTGGAAAAATCAATCCCATTGGACTCTTTTCTTTTGTTTAGGGTCCATATAGTGTCTTACACCCTGTAAACCCTCGAAATAGAATTCATGTAACCTCAGCTAACAAAATTGTCAGTCATAGACTGAATTCTTTTTGGTTTCCTACTTCCTAGGCTTTGCTACATCACTTAGATGCATAAATACTTATCAACTCAAAATAAATTATATTTTATACAGTATACAAAACCAAGTCCAAGTCTTTTCTGCAAATAGGCTTGGTGGTATATATAAACTATTTTCTTCCTACTAGTATGGTCTTAGTCTCACATAATGTAAAAAGCGACGCGAAAGGTAGGTCAAGGCATAGATTTTAATCAATCTACACCAGCTACTCATTCCTTGAAACCACACGAGGTTGTGTGAGAACTTATGAATTTTGATGAACAATAACATTCAGAAGAACCAATCTGCAANTCAATTAAATTGGATAGAAATATGAAATATCTATTAATTTTTGTATTTTTATTTTATTCCACCTGTATTAATTAATTAATTTATATATATAATAAAAACTCAAATTTTCTAATCCTATCGAATAAGCTCTTACTCTTCATCGCCTTAGGCCTTCATTGCCTCTCCAGCCTCATCGGTCGCCTCTCCCAAGTACTCTCTCTTTGTGTCTCTATCTAGAGTTGAGCATGAGAATGGTGAAAAACAAAGAGATTAAAGTTGGTATTTTTGGAATTTTTCTTTCTGGATTAAACTTGATGTTTGTAACTTTGATAAACTGATTTTGTAGTTT